TATATGATTAATTTGTTAAACAAGTTCCTAGTTTAGTGATAAGTTAAAAGAAAAACGGCGCTTTTGATCCACGCGACGGTAATATGTCGCCTGCATAGAGAAATGTAACGTATTTAATATTATAATATATATACATATGTAAGTAGGAACGTATGTATATTTAATTAATTTTCACACAATTGGTCCCCAACCAGCTTGTTTGTGAAATCTTTAATCGTTTGTTTGCTGAGCTTTTTAGTGCATATTTATGAATAATTCATGAAGTTATTAGCACAATTTCGGAGGTGTGCACCTTTAAGGCACAGATAAATCACAAGCAACTGCTAATTTACACTTTACTTAACATATTTCGTGTTTATTGATGTGCAAAATGGATAAATACATAAATGAACGATTTACATCAAGTAGTCGTAATAATTTCAATTTTTGTAGTAATAACTTAAAAAATAATTAAACACTATAAAAGAAATATGTTTTCATAAAAAATGTAAAGCAGCTGTTTTATACCAATTATACATTTGTAGATAAGTCCAGAATATGTATACTTTCAGTGGAGTACCACTTCTCCAACCTACCCTTATTTGTACTTTTTCTCGAGTTGACTTAATTAGTAACACCACACTATAGCCAATAGGCAGTTATTCAAAAATAAACATAACGCTCACTGGCGTAGTCAAGCGGAAGGGTTATAATTCAGTTTTTACGATATTAAAATAGATTTCAAACTGGAAGTATTCTACTTCTTCACTTATCAGCTGCAAAATCGCCATGGCGGAATAGTAAAAAAAAAATTAAATGATACCGCCATTGTTAATTGTGTTTCAATAATCTCAAATTATTTGAGTCCTTATTATTATTATTTTATTTATTCGACAGTCCATGCAAAACAAAGGCGGAGGAAAACCTATCGGTTTTGGCAAAACTTTGTATCAAACTAAGGAAAGTATCGCCGTGATTTCATCCATTTAAGGAAAGAGGTACACTGTTACTAAAAAAAGATCCATTCTGAATTTCATTAAGATTTCTTACATATTGATCGATAGGTACGGTATAAAGTGAACCGGACGTCCGAAAATACTTATGCTAGGTATATGGGGGATAAGGGAAGTGTTGACTTGCATTTACCCATTTTTAGCACAAGATATAGTGCGATTACACTTCAAGGGTTTTCGTTTAATGGCGTTTTGTGGGCGTGGCAATGATCTGATTCCGCCTATCTGCAATGCCAAGCTACCTTGGGTGCCAAGGAATATGTGTACCAATGGACAGACGGACGGATGGACAGACAGTCCCCCGGATTTTAAATCTTCTTGCCATCCTGATCATATATATATGTACATATAATTCGATATCTATTTCGATTAGTTTTAGGTGATAGAAGCAACATGTTGCAAGAGTATAAAAATAACTGTTTTCTACGAATTGGTCAACGCTGTATGCATTGTAAACTTTGCAACAAAATTTATGGCAAGACTAAGTACAATAATATAAGATTTCTAGCGGTATTTCAAATATTTTCAATTGGATGGAAAGACGAATTTTTTACTGTTTCCAAGAACATACAAGTACATAGTTATTTATCTACATATGTATATCCTCATCCTAACTAATATTATAAATGAGAATGTAAGTATGTATGTTTGTTATGCTTTCAAGCCGAAACTACGTAACCGACCATCACGAGACTTTGTACACTTACATATGTATCTCTCATGGTATTAAAAAGGACATAGTATATCTATTATTAAAAAACAAAATTTAAATTTTACGTATTCTAAAAAAAAAAATTATTTTGGCAGATCACATCTGTTTGTAAAAAAAAAATTTGAAAATTGAAAAAAATTACTTTAATAGATATGATTGTTTGTCGAAAAATTCTAAAATGTAGCAAAGCAAAAAACATTAAACGTGTGAATCAGAGAAATTGAGATTTTCTGGTTACCCCCACCACCACGAGGATGATCAACGCGATCGAGTACATTATATATTTAGCTATTTGTGTTTGTTAACAATATTTGATATTTATTTAAGGGATGCGAGCGGAGCCGCGGGAAAAGCTTGTATTACACTATTAAGACTATTATGTGCGCCAATCTTATGTATATTTGCATATCATGTACACAAATTTGTACATGTATAATTTTTGATAACGAATTTCACTACATATTGACTATGCATGTATGTATGTATGTACATACATAAAAGTATATTTCGGTTTGTATAAGAAGATTTGTTCACGCCTAGGAGTACAGGTGACAACTTCAAGTTGTTTTATCACTAAATTGTTGTTTATCAGGTTTTATTTGGAAACGTTGTTTGGGTTAACAGTTACTATAATTACTTTTGTTTGTGTTGAACTAATATACATATGTATGGTAAATGAGATTCACAATTTCTCGTAAACTAAATATTAGCACCTACAATTGCAAATCTAAGTAATCTAGTAATTCATTCATAAAGCAATAATAAAACCATTTTCACTTTCTACAGGAAACTACACATGCAAATTACTTCATTATAATTAAAATCTATGATAACATATAAATGTTATTATGTGTAAAACAGTGTGTTTTGTGGTATGAAAGTAATGTGTCTAACCTACAAGAATTTTCATAACCTATTTGAGAGAGGTTTTTCTTATTTCACAAGCCATCTGGAGCTTTTCGTCGGCAATGGGTATAGATTTATAGTGAAGATCTCTGTACACGATGCCCAATGTCCTAGTACACCAATCCCTTTGTATATATGTATTTGGATCGAATGTAGTTAAAGTTTTTTTTAATGTTCTAGAAGATAATTTTGCATCAAACATTTATCTGCGCAAACACAGAAAAAAAATGATGCTTTAAAGGATGTCTGTCATATGTTAAGAAGATTTGATTGAGTGAGTGATTTTCAGTGGATATCAACAACCAGCTAGTCACTGTAATATGAATAAAAACAAGAAAAAATTTTAAATTTGGCTGCACCTATAATACCCTTCACAAATACAAAATATTCCATACAGGAACTTGATATTTATCTGTCAGTTTGTATGACAGCTACATATATACCATAGCGAACAATTTTTTCGAATATTGTACCGTTCCAATAACGCATGACAAATTTTGTGAAGATATCTCGTCAAATAAAAGAGTTTTCCATACAAGGACTAGATTAGGTTGTTACACGTTAAGGCACAAACGGTCACCGACCCAAAACCGTGGACCGAATAAGCTGATATGAGATATCTTATGAGAGCGCAATGTAAATGAACAGTCACAACCGCTTCAATAGACCATACGGTAGGAGATCCGCGAAAATTTGATTTTTTTCCGTAGAAACGAGTGAGCTAAGAGTGAGAGAGCAATGAACTTGAATATATTTGAAATATTCTTAACACAACTCAAAATCACAGTCGAATACACTTATTTAGAAATAGGCAAACTATTTTTAATAGTTGGATTTTAGTTTTGAACTTTTACTTTATGAAAAATTATAACTGAAAAACTAAATGTGTTAAAAGTCGTGTATACAAATAGAAAAATGGCTACATTGGTGAAATGAAAACATAAGAGAAAAACCGATTTCTGCGCTGCAACTACGGGCATAACTTTTGACAAATTTGGTTTGATACGGACGGTAAGTACGGAAGGGAGGAATGTCGGTGACTGTTTGTGCACTCAGTCGAACAAAAACAACCCACACACCTGTTGTTCCTAAAACAATTATTAAATAAATACCAACGTGTAACTGTGAAGCAGTTATTTTCTCTACAACAAATTATGTTTACTTTACACCGTAATTGTAAACAATGCATACGAATGCAAGTATTAGTGTGTATATAACTCATACTTACGTAAAATTGTATTTATAAATAAGTGTACATTAATAAAGCTTGACAATATTGCAGAATAAGATTATCTTTAATTTTGTGCACTACTTGGGATAAAAATAGATTTTATTGAAAGCATTGAGGTAGCACTTTGAATATAAAAGCACGAATAAAATTTGTCAATGTTTGTACATACATACTTATGTAAAAGAATGATAGATACAACTGTACCAATTGCATACCAAGTCCAACTTGAACACGGTTGACTTAACATTTTGTCATTCTAGTAATAAGAATGTAATGTACGAGTATATGTATTATCAAGTACAATAAAGACGTATTTTTTCATATTGTCAAAATCATTGTTATCAGTAAACTTTAACATTTATGACTTCACACCTACATCCATGTGTATGTTCAGAGATCCTATATATGTACATATATACATACGTATTTACCATAATTATGTAGGCATGTTGGTACTTACACATTTATCCAACTGATTGTAGAATATTGCCATTTTATAAAAAGTTATAAACAACTTGTCATTAACCACATTCACATTACATACCGATGTCAACAAAAATTATCATTATATTAATTTTTGTGCAGCTTTATAATATAATATATATAGTATTTTACACTTTTACGCTTGTGTAAACTTTGTACGCCTTTATTATATTTTTCTCACATAAAAGACAATGAAACAATAACGCAAATGATTCGACAAAATTATCATTCATCTACAATTAAAAATGTAGCAAATATGCATTTCAAAAATGGTGAATATGTATATTAATACATAAAAAATTCATCACTTTTTTGAAAACTATCACGTATAACTAGATGTATTTTCTAGTTTTGTATCAAGGACGGATTTTATTTTTTCTTTCTTTCCAGTAATATCGTTATTTTATATTATTTAGCATTCAAACAAGTTAGTTCACCGACACCAGTTGCTTCACATTTTACACTTTTATTTTGTTTTGCTATTTACTGCTATTGCTATTGATCAACTGCAGAGGAGCAATAGCGATAGGTAGCCCCAAACACACCGGATTGTGAGAAATTAGCGCTGAACCAAAAGAGATTGGAGCAAAAGAAACACATAAGAAATTTAATTAAACAATGAAATAAAAAGACGTATCGGAGTTGCCAGCTACCGTTTTAACATTAAGTTTAAGTTGTGTGATGAACCGAAACTGAGGTTTTTATTTACAACAAATTTGTTTTAGAGAAGTAAATATCATTTATTTTCATTATTACTTGACAATTTTCAAATATTTTGAACTTAATTTAAAGAATTAATCTATTAATATAAAATCAATCGTTTGTTATTTGAGGTTGACTTAACTTAAAGACTTAACGAAGAGTCTGAAATTGTTAACTCCGTGCAATTTAACTTGCAGTGACATTTTCATTTTGTGACATTTGGCTTTTTATTTAAAACGCAAATCATGGGCTTGTTGTATTGTGTAAACCTACAAGTAGCCACAGAATCAGCTGTTTTCATATGTGTGTGAAACAGCCGTGGTCACCTGATCGAATCTGCATTTTTTGACACAGAGATGTAAATAAAAGGAACGTATTGCAGTTTAACAACTTGTTTGTGAACATGTATTTGTAATGGAGAATATTTTAGGGTACATAAATCAGGTTAATGAATATTAATTACATTAACAATTTTACATTAACAATATAAGTTGAAATATTCAAAATGATTTCAACAAAAACCAAAATATTTATAAAAAATGAGATACAATTAAGGAACAATAACAATAATCAAAACAATCTACTAAGCAATAAATAATATATACAAAATATTCTAAATCACCGTTACACAGTTATATATATGATAAAATTGGAAACATTTAATAATATTTCGAAAAAATATATAATAGGAATTAAAACAACCGAAAAATATTTGAATATGTACTAAAAACGTTCTTAAAGTTATAAATTTTAAAACATAACACGGCCACACACTAAAGCAGATTTGTTTCATTTGGACGTTTTAGTAACAGAATATTGGTTGGCAACCCGTACCAAGTGTGACTTTAGTAGTAGAATATAAGTAGGCAACCCGTACCAAGTGGGACATTTTTGCGTGTGGATTAGTGATAATCTTAGGATTGGGTACATGTTGATTTATACAATGTTTGTTGTGATCCAACTGAAAACTTGTTTTTAATTAAATACACGTAATCCTTAAAAATTCATCCATAAACAAAAATTTTTAATTTACTAAAATGCCTGTTGATGGACGAGAACTGATTAAGGCAATTTCCATCATTGCAAATGAACGTAATGTGAAAGTGACAATGAAACAAACAACCAAAGGAGCAATGGGTATGTGGAATATGCAAATAAATGTCTTGAATTAAGCTCTTATTTATGTAAACTCTCAAAATTTTATTATTTATTTAGTTTGTGCAGCAAGTGCTTTTGCAGCTGGAATTCTGCTTGGACCTGTAGGACTGGCTATTGGTGGCACAGCGGGCGGATTGATGGCTTATAAAATGACGAATGGTAAGTTTAGTGTTATTAGACAAACCTAAAATATATATAAGTATGCTTTATAACCCTCAATTACTTCCGATCTGATAAGCTACATGTATAAAATGATGAAATATCGCTGGGATAAAGTAAGTGTTTTATCTTGATGACTAAGTAGCGAGAAAGTTATTAAATTTTTAATACAATTACAATTAGTTGTACATACATATATGTCCATATCTGTACTTTAATCAGGCTTTATTTCTTTTTCTGTAGGCACATTCAGACCATTGGCTGATGTGTTACTAAACGATTTAAATGATGACCAACAAGAGAGATTGGTGCGACATGTCAATAATGCTCTGGCTGAGTTCGCAATCTCTGATTTGGCAATGCTCCTGCCGTTGTTAATGAACAATGCAAATATACAGCAGGCAGTTCTGAAAACAGTCACCAGTTTCGTATCGAATGAATTGAGGTGTCAGATCATCGACTGACCTGTGGGTATTTTATGGATTGCCAAGGACCATGTCACATTATTAGGCACAATATTTCTTAAAAGTACATTGTATTTGGTATTGCTTGCGTTTTATTGCTGTATTTTATTTATAATATTTCTTTATGCCAACATATATTTAAGATAAAGAAAAGTGCAAAAACTATGGCCATTAGTGACAAGTATATACGAAGATGGAACATGTCAATTATAGGTAATTTGTTGTATATGTTTATTACCATTAACTTGAGAGTGTAAAAAAGTACAATTAAATTTTTTTTCGCTAAATTAAGCTAACTCCTGCATTTTTATTCAACCTTATTTAATAATAGTAGGCTTTATTAAGGATCCTCTAATTAATAATACTATATTTTTTGACATATATTACATGTTACGTATTATTTTACTAGTTTTTTTTATCTCTAATTATTTTTACTTGTTATGTTGGCGGCGGTTCATTTAAATTCGTTTATTGGTGAATGCATATCTATTCGCATTTACAAGTTGTCAAAAATGTCCCATTCTCTTTAAAAATGTCAACATTTAACATTCATCAGTTAGAATTTTAATTTTTCGACTGTACCGTTCTTTTCATTTATCTACTAAAATGGCTGCCAATAGACGAGAATTGATTAAAATAATTGCCAATATTGCAAAAAAACGTCATGTTTTATTTAAAACATTTTATTATTTACATAGTTTGTGCAGTACGGGCACTGTTTGGATCTGGTGTAACTTGAGTAAAAAATGAGATATCTTTATGAAACTTGGTACACATGTTTCTTGGTACCGTAAGACGGTTGGTATTGCAGATGGGCGTTCCACCATGCTCTCAAGTAACAATAATTGTATCGGGGTAAACTTTGTGTGAATAATGTGTTTAAACTATGCCACCTTCTGACCAAAAATTGTCGAACCAAAGCTGTTCAAGCCCCTAAGTACTGAATATGTGGACCCCAGCGCCTATAGTTGACTTTTTACCGAAAATATCGGTTAATGTGTAAGATATATAATTGAAATTCATATAATTATCGGTTACACCCGAACTTAGAACTTCCTTACTTGTTATTATTGTTCTTTAGATACATCCCGACCATTAGCTGATGTGTTGCTAAACAATTTAAATAATGACCTTGGTGCCGTTTCCATAACAGTCGGGTCTACATAACCGGAACGGACTCGGATTTTTCCGGCCAAGGACTGTCAACTCGACAAAATTCTGCCGCTACAACAACATCACCTTGGTGCGACATATCTGTAACGCGGTAGCTATCTCTGATTTGGAAATTTGGTTGATGTTGTTAATGGGAGATATTAAGTTATGCAAGCAGCCATCATCCGATGGTCAGATTACATGCGCTGTTAAACGTTAAAAATACATTTAAAAAAAAATTTATTTCGTTCTATTAATTTGCTAATAATAATAAAAAATTAATTTTATTGTGGTTTTGTTGCCCTAGATATAAGATCGATATTGGATATATTTATGCTCACAATTCGTGAAACTATTATTGATTTTGTAAGATTTGCTCTCGTTTAATTTTAAATCCTTATTTTCATTTTACATTACAAAAATCTGAAAACATGAAACAAAAAAACAGATATACGCATTTTATGAGTTTTTCTTTTATAATTTTCCAGTCGAAAATTTGTTTTTAAGGACCAGTAGCAATCTGCCATGTGACGATCCCATCGACCGTGATACATTTCTTTCGTTACTTTTAGATTGCGGTAATAGTCTAATGACCCTCATATTTGTTCTTAGATTCATACAAGTTTTCAGCATGTTTTGCACAATTCCCCAATAATTTGGTACTTATTAAAACTTTCCACATATTTCGGTAAGGAGCCTGAGAGTGAGTTTTGCGTGATGTTTGTATTCACGAAAAAGATGCGCAGAACAACCTTTTCATGGCAGAAAAAATCTATTTTATTCCCAACAAACCGATAATTGAATAAAATATATGATATGCATTAATCATAAAAAAAGAGCACGTTCAATATTTTCATGAAGAAATTCGTAATGTAGGCCTTTGAAAACATCACAATTTTCTAACATACCCAGGGCAACAAAAAAATGTTTTTTTTGTAGAACTGTATAATTATTATTTAAATTCAGCGTATCATTTATAAATTATATTTAAGTGTAAAAACATAATGGCTACGTTTATTGCAAGCTTAAATCTACTCACACATACATCAGCTTAAAACTATTACAAATAATACATATCCCCTGTGGGTTTGTTGTATAAATACCGTTTATTCCCAATCAACATTAACCTGATCCCAGTCGTTGACAAAGGGCTGATCGATCATGTCAATCATTACACCACAAAAATAACAATCACCAGCAATGATCTCCTCAATTTCAGTTTTTAATTCCGTACGCTGTATGAGCATATCCTCGGAGATATCCATAACGAAACTCTGTGTTACCAGCGCGTCCAGTTGTTGTTTGATGGTTGTCAATCGACGACTTTGATCGCTGCTTAGTGTTGGTAGGATTTGTTTTTCTAAGCAATCACTATGAAATTTGTGTCCACAGATGAAAACAATAAATGGCTTAACCATTAGAAAGGAATCACAGAGGCTGCAATTTTCTTGCGCGCTTATACGAATACTTCGTTCACGCACATTCTGCAAATCTTTGATGACACGCTCCGCTTGTTTATCACACTCATCCATTTCGTGTTTGAGTTCAAGAATTTTGAGATTGTAATCCTGGTGGAAGTTCATAAGCAAATGTTAAATTTAATTTTTATATTAAATTTTAATATTATATATACACATACTTTTAAAGCCGCACATATGGGTTCTTTGAAATCGTCAATTTTTTCGAAATCAGAAAAAAATGGTAGTAAATCCTCTATGCGTAGCAAATCACATTCCTTTAGAAGATCTAGTGCTTTTTTAACATCATTCGTATCTTGTATTTCATGTCGGGCTATAATGGGAAACGAAAGGATTGAGTATTCCTATGTTTAATAGAATTTTATTAGTTTTTCTTACCAATGGCCAGCCACATCTTTTCGCGTTCTTCCTCTTTTGTTGGCTTCGAAGCTGTTTCTTTCGCCAGTTTCAAATCGAATTGCAGTGCCAAATCCACGGCCGCCGCATACATTTTACATAAACACATTAGGAAAACTGATGCAACATTCGCTTTGAACAGTTTACACTGTATCATCGCATAATTTATATCGTAATGTATCAAACTCAAATCCTGGCCCTCATTCTCAAGATATTTGATTACCTTAGGAGGCTTATATTTGGCATACAAATGTATTATGTAATTATGAACTGCTTGATTTGTTTCACCTAAACTATAAATTGCAAACTCCAAGTACCTAATAATCTCTTCTATATGTTTATCGCTCTCTTGCAACACTAATGTGGGTATAAGCTCTTTAATGTCGAATTTTCGTCCTTGTGACATTAACGTTTCGATAGTTTCATGCGGTAAAAAATCCATAAGTATAGGACAATATTTGTAGTACAGTTCGAGATTATCCTGTTGTGTAAGTGTGTGAAGTGCCTCTTTGAATTTCTTGCTACCAATTTGTTGTTCAATTACTTCTTCATAATCACCAATGGATATCGCGAATTGTGCGATATTATGCGAATCTGCATGCTCTTTTAATAGGTTGCATATGGGCTCTTTGTTTTGGCGTGCACAATCTGCCACACGTGCCCCTTGCATGAACTCATCGAATTCACTCTGCCATTCGGCACGTTCTTGTGCACTCCGACGTGGATAATTGATTTGCGTTAAATAGAGATCAACCAGCCATATGACGAGAACCATTATTTTATTTGGATCATTTTCCAACATGGCTAAACGTTTTTTAGCATAGCGTATTATCGCCTTTTTAGTATCTAGTTCGATAAATTTCAAACTAACCTCCTCGAAGGGCTTAGATGTTTCCGCATAGAAATCTGCCGCTAGCGTATAGTCGCCTTTTTCAAAAGCGGCATCTGCTTTTTTGATGAGCACAACATCCAAGTGTTCCGGTTGCTCTGCAGCGTAAATCTCCGCCAAATCATATTGCCCCTTCTCTAAATAAATACGCCATACATCACGTTGTTCATCGGTGATCTTGTAGTTGAAGAACATTTTATCCGTGTAAACGTAGATGGTGCCGGTGAATGGATCGCGCAAAATATTCAATAGTTTGCCAATTTGCTCATGAAAATACTCTTCATAAACCACTTTCTCATTTAGCAGACAAATGCCTGTAATATGGTCTGAATAAAGTAAAAGTGCATGATACTCGGTTAAAGCAAGCGCTCGTGGCGCATTTTGACGACGTTCTTCAAAGGAAAGATGCTTATATTGCTTGAAGTCCAAATTTATTAGGCTATCACCAAGTAAGACATTAGTGGAGCGTTCTTCGGTAGAAATCTTAAAACAAAAAAACCAATTATAAATGAAAAATTGATTGTTAAATGACTGTTTTAGTTGAATTTCCATAAATCTGAGTACTTAAGTGCATACCTCTCCAAATCTGATACCACTACCACATAACCATGCCCACTGTTTGGGTAGCTTTTCATTTGGTTCGCCATAAAGTTGAAGAGCTGAATAACTCAATTCAGTTTCAATCATTTCAGCTCCATGCACCTGCTGTCCATTTACATAGCTAGCGAAAATAAACTGTAGAGATCTATCGTCTGGCTTCAAACTTTCTTGGAATGTGTATATACAATCTGGTGTTGTAGCAATAACCATATATTTATTGGTATTGGGTAGACGTAATAATTCCAACCCGGTTATGGGATACTTTGTACGACCCAAACCTAAATCATAAACCTGCAAGAAAAGAAATTGCGCATATTAGCCAATATAACTGTTTACTATTAACATAGTATAATTTATACCTGTTTCCGCTGTAAAGGCGAAAAACCATCTTGAACAAGTTCCGTTTCAAAAATCAAACCACGACTTGTACCCAGCAGTATTGGTCCAGTGGAGGATTCTGTACCCATATAACGATTAAAGGCAACAGCTGTAATTTCGTGATCTTTAAATTTTTCTACGCGTCGCACTTTTGGACCGTTTCCATGTATGTAAAGAAAGTCTGCAGATAGCCCGGGAGTTTGTGGCACAATCGGTATAAGTGTGTGGTGTCCAGTATAATCAAAAAACACTTTTGAAATTGCATAGCCCGCCAAGTACTTTTCCAAAGGTATTTCTAAAAGCAAAAAAAAATTAAACTATCCGGCAGAAACTTAAGCATACTTATACAAACCTCCTGGAGGTAACGCTCGAGGTAGAAAAAAGCGTAGCAACATTGTTTGCG